CCTATCAAGGAATAACCTTCCAGCCCACTAGTGCTCAGTCTCTTTGATGCTGGCAAGATCTGTCAGCACTCAGGAGGCATACAGTACCAAAACCCACTACCAGCTAATTAGTAGAAAAGCAAAAACTGCAAATTCAGAATAGCATTCCTTAAGGCATGAGCGCGGAAGTAAGGTCGGACATTGTACTAGTAACTTTTTGAGTGTAGTTTTTGCGAGAGATTAATTCATGAGCAAAATCTTTCCAGGGTACACCTGTACAGTAGGACCGATTGTATGAAATGGATTATCTAAACACATTCTTTTATTTTTTCACTTCAATGCTCAACACAAGCAACAAGAACACTGTCAGCTAAAATCAACCAAAGAGGACTGATTTCAAATCTTTCAAATTCGTTTTCATTTGACAGACAATATCTGTGAGAGTTCACAGCTTTATTAACCAACAGTTCTTGCCATGGAGGTACTATTGTTTGCTTTTTGCCTTAGCTTTTCCCAGCTGGAGAAAGTAGTTTCTCCTAACAGGCAAACCACTTAACCAATCAAAAGTGCATTGCAACAAATCCAGGATGTGTCAGCCTCTGTTCACATGTGCATACAGACCCTAAAGGGAGAAAGACATACTCTACTTGTTTGATGGAGCTTCAAATAATTGCAGACCTGAGCGCAGATTATCATGAGTAATGAAAATGTAAAGCTAACTGTTTACAACTGATTTATTGGGCTGACACTTCTATCTTACTTACAATTGTACCCATTTTTACAGCTGGATATCTTCCTGGAGCATGTGTACAGCATCTGTGCTTCACCTCTGATTTGAGCTGCACACAACAGAACCCTCACTACTGCTACCAAACAGACTCCAGAACATAACAGAAATTTCCAGTTTTACAAAAACACTTTAATGCCTACTGCATTAACACCAGCCTTTTGTACAATAGTATCAGTATGGGTTTCCATCTTTTGTCAAGGATGAGCTAACAGATACTTACTGTGCATGTAACTACTCCATTTTGTGCTTGGTGTTGTGTCATACTGTACACTGTACATTTTCATTTTATCTGGACATTTCATTTCATTAATAGCAGGGCTCTGTAGTTTAACATCAGGAAGCTATTTCTTATTCCAGCTTGCATCAGATAATATAAACTAGTACATAAAGGTCCAAAAGGTCATAATTGCCATTATATTTATCCATCCTCTGTCATAAAACCACATATTTCTAGAAAGGAAATGTGCAGTGTAGAGTGCATCACAGAAGCGCAAAGCACAACGGAGGGACACTCGAGTTCATCACTGGTCACATACAGTACATACAGTACACAATGTAAAGACACAACTTAGCTAGCACGTTAACCCACAGAGGAGCTCCCGAACCCCAAAAACATGACAAGAGAAGATCCCCCTCACCCAAGAGCATGCAAACCCCACAAAGAATTCATCCCATTCAGAATTCAATCCCAGGACCCAAGATTTGCAAGGTTAACTGCCACACCAGTGTTCATTTGAAATAGATTCACGTGATTGTAATTCAAAGCCTAAAATTAAAAACATCTGCTCTTCACCTTGTTCAAGTGTTCTTTCACATCACAAGTTTAAAGCCCCACAACATTCTCTTATCATTTTTCTCTCACCTCACTTTGCTTTGCAATAAATTGACCTACAGTAGTGAAACATTTCTTTCTCGCGTCAAGCAGTATTGGTTTGATTGCACTTCACAAGATCTTTCCCCGTCTGGCTGCAGCACAAGGAATGCATCTGTTATCATTTGTGTGAAAGATGACACCTCCACAGTCTGAAAACAGGAACTGCAAGATATAACACATTGAAAGTAAAATTTGCTTTTCCTGGAATAGTGTTGATAATAAACATATCCAATTTTTAAATATTGAATTCTTAGCCCATAAATAAAAAAACTGCACCATAAAATGAATGTCACTAGTAATATACTGTATCCCTCTCTTCTCTACAACCCTTTAATCCATTTAGTGTGTTACCAAAAGACATTCCAGTGATCACATTTGCGCGAATCTGTCTGATAACTTACTACTATCGATTTTACCTCTCTGTGTTTCCCTGCTGAGCTGTAAATACAACCAATTTATCCCTTTTTAACTTAATTAGAGTAGTGTGAGTTGTGTATCAAGACCCTTCAAGTACTGCACTGAACCACAGCGTATGTCTCCTACAGTACATACGGCTGATTGAAAATCCAGAGAGAAAAAAAACAAAGCCCTCTTTCACATTTCAGATTTTACAACCTGCAATCCAGTTTCCAAAATACAGCAGTTGGTGTTGGTTTATATATGGAACAGGAATGGGTTTATTCCATGCTGAAAAGAAAAGACACAATGTTTCGGCTATGGAGCCACATCTGCAGAAGGCTCCACAGCCAAAACGTGTTCTTTTCTTTTCAGCACAGAATAAACCTTTACCGGTTCCTTTGCAGCCTACGCATGCTGACGCAGCTGCCTGCTTGAACTCGGTTTATGAATTTAAGGCTTGTTAACTAATGATGGGTATGTATGGGCAAACTAATATTTCATCATGTAAAACTACAAGGGGCTGTAGCTCATAATAACTGACATTTATCCTCGAGCAAGGCAATGGCATCCTGTCTCTCTCTCTCTCTACAAGAAGGCCTTATTAGTTATTAACAGCGTTTTGTTCAGTTCAATTAAATTTAACAGTAAGGAAACGAGGTTGGGGAACTGTTTTGTGCTCAGACTCCGTGATGTTGTTTAAAAGGTTGTGCAGTGCTGATCAGTTGCGGGTGAGCTGTTCGTTAGCTGCACGAGTAATCCAGCGACGTGTCTTATTCCTCCCTTTGTTTTGCTTGTCGGATTTGTTTTGGTCAGCCCCGGCTGTCACTCCATCTGTCAGCCCCGTGACATAATACCGGAGGCCTGCCGAGCTGCCCTGTCCTCTCTGATTCTTGACGTCAGCGTGGCAGCATCGAGGAGTCCTTTGATTTGACTCGATTTCTGGCACGAGGGCTGCCGCTTTGAGTTGTCTCGGAGAGCACGGGGAAGCGGTCTATTTTTTAAAAGGACCTAAAGCAGGACAAGCAGCCGTGTTGCACCCTTAAATCGCAGTATTCAAAAGAGCTCAACTGTTATGTCAGAGAGTTTTTCATTGCTCTATAACAGAACAAAGGAACAAAAGTCCACTTTTTCAACTCATTACAGACCCCTGAAGAGCGAAATAAAACCTTAAAATTGCATTTTAAGATTTGTTTAATGGTTTAAGTCACTGTTTAAATGTAAATTAGTTCAGGGCTCTCCTATCGTCAAGTAACAGTTAAGGTTCCTAATCTGTTTTATGCACTCATTCCTTAACGTGGAATCTTAAGTTCCTTGATATTGAAAAGACTGAAAATTAATTTAACTAAAACTTTAACATTTTATATCAGTACAGTTAATTAAGCTTTGCAACTGAAATATGACAAAAACTAATTCAGTTTTTGACTTCTGAAAGAGTGACATTTTAGTCTACTTAAAAGTGTGACTAAAATGTGACTATATCTAATAGGCATTTAAGGTGATATGACTGAGACTATAACTACAGTAAATCAAAAACTGATGAGAAAAGTAAGACCAGTTCTGTTCTTAATAGTAGTACTCTAAGAATTGCTAGTTATCCAGCCCTTACAAGATTCTGTTTGGAATCTTATTTTGATGTGTTCCTTCCCAAATGTGAGATCGGAGCCTCTTTCCTCCCCCATCCCTCTCAGCGACAATCATGTTCTCTGTATAGTAATGATTGTGGACGTCTCTTAATCTGTAAGAAAGTGAATTCGACTCCATATCTACTTTGCCGTGCTTGTAGAAGGCTTTCATGTTTTGAACAATGGATAAAAAATGAGAAACCATTGTTGGGCACGTCTAATCAAATTTTACTGCTTGATTGAAACTTGCTGTGCACGTTCATGGGTAGATAACAGCAAATTATGGTAAGGATATGACAGAGTTGGAATACCTTGGAAGTCAGAGCTGAGCTAACTAACATTTAGCAGTACAGGAGCAAGGTTATTAGAAAGGCCACAGAAAACTCCATAATAGAATGTTAAAAAAATAGTTAAACCATACTTGACAGTTTCTGATGTGCCCAGACTATTTCATTTTTCTGAGCTGTTGGGAACAGAATTGGGTTTCTTAGGAATCTACATCATAAAACCTCTAAAAGATCAATAAAATGCATGATAGTGCAACTGCAGGTCCAGACTGACCACATCTCACAATATCATAACTCATTCATGTTAATAGAAAAGCTTTTGTAGAGCAATCAGAGTTTTTGACATGTGATGCCTGGAAAATACTAGATTTGGGAAAAGAAAATGATCACTGAAATATAAAGAATTAAAGTTAATTTATTTATTTTTCTTTTCCTTGCAAAGGAGCAAGTTAATAGTACCCAAACATACCACTTTACTTTATTAATGAAGCCATGTGATGGAAATACTGTATAAACTTTCTACTTGCAGATCAACTGCAGTCAAAAGCAATGACAAATGTAAGGTATAGCCAGGGACTCACTCAATCAGTTTTTAAACACAGCCCAGGGTACAGACCAGCTGTTGCTGATGAATATTGTAAAGTCAAAAGTGACAAGCATGTCCCATTTAGAAACAGAGAGCCCCCTACTTACAGTACTTACTGTACTTCCTTTATTGTCCCACATGGGAACTTTGCTGTGCAGGCAGGTAAAAGACATAGGATAGTACACAATACAGTTAACACAGCATAAACTCATTTACGAATAAGAAACAGGCATGCATAAGATCACAAAAACAAGTTAGCGGCTTTAACTGATCCTCACAATTCAGAAAGACCAACAAAGAAGCTGGGTCACCAGTATGTGAAATAGATACAGAAGACAAATGCATGATGAAAAATAAATGCAGTGAAAAATATAATCAGTTGTCCAAATTAATCCGGTAAATAGCCTTGGGAATAAAGGATAACTTAGTCCTTTTGCATTTACAGTAAATCTGTGTCCTGCAGGTTCGTTGGGCACACAGAACCCTACACCAAACTGTGCTGCAAAGGGTTCTGCATCGACATCCTGAAGAAGCTGTCCCGAACCATCAAATTCTCCTACGACCTCTACCTGGTCACCAATGGGAAACATGGCAAGAAGGTCCGTGGCATTTGGAATGGCATGATTGGAGAGGTGAGTGGGCACTTCCCTGCCAACCTCATGGCTGTGATGTCCTGTTTCTTTAAGAAATGTGCTCTCTCTTAGCTGTTGTATCCTTCACAGAAAGGCTGAAAATGACGCAGATACTACAATGCTACAAGAACGCTAAGCCCAGAAATTAGTCTATTAGTCATATTTCCATGCCATTTGCGCTCATTTGATTAAAAGGCTGTTATCTTTTTTTCCAAACCAAAAGTGTGCCTGAGTTTCCTAAATGAAGCATTATAGTGTTATTGAATGTTTTTAGGTTCAATATATGGTTGTTTCCTTCTGAAAGCTTTAGACGTTTTTTGTGATTACTTTTCTAATATATAGCATTCCTTACGGCCTACATGCAAAAGTAAAGAAATACCCCGTTCAGAAGATCATAGGAATGTGATGGTGGGCAGATGGTGACTTTTGTATTTCTGAAACTTTTTTCTAATAGAGCTTCTAATTTTATCACAATTTACAGTACATTAGGACTTTATATTGTGTCTCAATAACATAGTATATCATGATAACACAAATATCATGTTGTATGTTGTGTATCTGATGACATTTGCCATGCTTAATATATTTAAAAAATACAGCAAGCCAACACTGAAGGACCAAGTAAAATAACAGCAGTTCATTTAGAAAATACATTCTTTTTTAACAATTAACAAATCCTGGAAGTGTGTATTTTTTTGTAATTTGTAATGCAATGTAATCTTGTTTTCTTTTTTGTCGTTTAATGTTTTACAGATCTCAATAACATATACTAACATAATCCTCTAAGATTCTCATTAACGTTAAATTGACTAACTGTACTGTATGTCAGGAGGCTAGGCTTTTGATACAGTGGAATTCATGGCTGTTACAGACAGGTGTCCCAGATATAAACTGGGAGTATGCCTGAGGCACACCACATCCCAGCACAGTATGACCTATGAATGCCACAGTTATGCAGTGACTCAGATCATTTAGAAAATGTCTCAAATTAACATGAGACTGTTTTGATGATGTGATCCTCTAAAACTCACCCTTGGCAGTAGGCTGACCTTTTGGCATAGTGGAATTTATCAGTGTCAGAGGGTACTCTGTGTCTTGGGGACTGGGAGAATGTTGGGACAGTGATCTAATCCAATCTGGGGAAGAATCCCATTGATGGTAAACCATTGATAGGTGTACGATATGCTTCAGTCACAGCCAGTGAAGAAAAAAACTGACAAGCAAACAGCACTTCCGTATCTGTCACAATTTAAGTACTGTATAACATTTCATTAAGCATTAAGCAGATGTATGCAATATCTCAACAAAGTCAGGCATTTGCTTGAAAGGAAAATGTAAGAACATGTTTTGGTTCTGACGACTTGGTTGAGGGAAAGCAGCCTGACCAGAAGGCAGTCCAAACCCCAGTATAACATGAGCCACAGAGCTGCAGCACTGGTGAAGGGGTGGTGAGATGGAATATGCAAAATCCCATGAGCAGGTGATTGGTAGGAACTGGGACAGCGTTTATCTCCCATGCCTTCATTATGCACTCCGTTTACTCAGGAGTATCACACACACAGCATCACCAATCATGAACACCCTGCCATAACTGCCTGAGAAGAAGGAATTACTGTACTCTAACAGGACTCATACTGATTTGTTTGCTTGACCTTTTCTATTACTTTAAAACAATCTAGAAGTCAGCAAAGGGAAGCCCTGAAGTGAGCAACCCTTACTATTCTGTGAGTCTAGTAGGAGAGGCTGATTGTAAAATGAACAGGTGGGCATAACAATAAGACAGAGTGAGTGCAGGTTTTTGTGTGAGCACAGGGGCACTGCAGAGAACCCCAGTGTATGCTTTCAATTTGCACTGAATTTTAATATTTCGCAAAGCAGGCAAGTCAATTAAGTTATCATGGACTGCTGCCTGCTGCTCCCGCTACAGTCTGAATACATACAGTATACGTAGTAAATCCCCGAAGGTTTAGAATGACTGCTGAATATCTGGTTATAACATGAACCTTTGAAGCCATGAATGTACTGTAGATGTAGAATATGGTGATCTGGTTGTTTCAGTTTATACTGTCCTGTATATACACAATGTTGGTAAAAATACTTTTAAAATGTTGTCCATTACCATTGCTTATACAAATTATTGGTATAAGGGGTTACCTTTTTTTCTAATCACAATTAAGACATGGGGGGGGTATATTTAAGAGGTAATGTTATATTTTAAATATTAATTAATTACATAAAATAAATTAATTAGTGAATCAATATACTGCATAGATCACTGTAACCAATTTATTTTTAAAGGTTTTATTAAAACATTTTTTGCAAAAGGAATCCCTTACACTGGTATCTTGTGACTGCAATACCCTTAAATCATGAGATGTGCAACACGTGACCGATATACTGTACATTATTATTCAAACTTTACAGATTAGGCTTCGCCTTTAAGGTTAACATGAGACAGTAAAAAATGTAACAAAATAAAGCTTCCATGAAGGAAGAGTGAGGGACTCTTATAAATTAATGAGGTGAGAGAATAGAGAAGAGATTTGAAGTTGGAACAGAAGACGGTAAACTGTACGTCCTTGTAAACAATCTGCACCATCAAATTAATACATTTTTCCAGGTCTGTTACAATGGGGGTTAGTACATTCAATCTAATGCTGCATTCCTTGGCAGTGCAAGATACAGAGGCACAATTCAGCTCAATGAGCCATTCAATGTAGGGTGAAAAACCAAGGCGCAATGCAGTACCAGTGCTAAATCTGTCTATGTAGATGCACGACAATAAGAGATATTAGAAAAATAATACGATTTGTGACACTTATTGGAAAAAAAAGTATTCTTGTCTGTGGGACTTTTTCAATCACACTAACAGATGCCTTCTGTCTGGGTTTATAAGTTAGATATTCAGCTGCTATTTAAAATCACTGAATGTACAAGCAGCAAAGATATGAGTTCAAAATAGTAAAAATCCAGTCCTTAGTATACTACATATACTGCATTGTATTCACAAATAAGTAAAATGATGGAAGTTTCCAATACTTGCCTGTCTGTGGTAGTTTTCACCCTTCATCATCACCATCTGCTTCAGACCTTATTATTATTATTATTATTATTATTATTATTATTATTATTATTGAAAAGGGATGTCTCCTTGTTTTCAGGATAAACTGGCACAACAACCTAATGTACTGTACTTATCCTCACACGTCACATCAGATGCAGTTATTTGCCACTCTAGATGCAATCTCAAACCCAGTGCTTTATCCCAGACTACTTGACACTTGTCCCCTCCCTTTGCCATTTCTGTGAAGAAATGGGTACTGTAAATATACTCCAGGAATTACAAAAACAACACTAATGAATGCAGGACATAGAATTCTAGACCTACGTAAGGGTAGACCAAGACAGTACATTTTTTTCCATAAACATGAGTGCAGTTCATAAAATGCAGTCCTTGCGAATCACAAAATCACTTTGTTTCAGTTGCATCTGCTTCAAATTGCTTAATCGATGTAGATTACTTCCTAAATTGATGGGCACTACTTAAACGATGTTCAGGGTCTAATCTAGCTGGTGATTTAAAGGATGCACTTAATCCAAGAAACAGTACCAATTAAACATTTAGATGCTTAAAGTGGAATTGCAACGCTATTTTTTCTATTTTTTTTCTAACGCTATTTCGGGGTTAGAAAGAATCATCATTGATGAGTGCATTTCAAACCACAATAAAAGTGAAATGTACACAGTAACTTGTAAAACCTACAATTTACATCACAAAATGTTCTGCGATTCTGAACAAGACAACAAAACTTCCTGTGCCATGATGCAGCTTTATTACATTGTAAATAAGCAGGATTGTGTATACCTCACTTTTAATCCAATAGGAATATTGCTCTCGATTTTGAGATGGTTTTGCCAACAAATACTACTTGTGAACTCTGCATGCATATCACATTGGATTCTGCTGTGAAAGTTCTGCTGCACAACCTGTACTTACTTGCGTGTACATCACATTATGCTAGTCATTATGGGAACTAGTGAGCAGGAAGGGTGGCATCATGTCGCAATTTGTGGAAACTTGTTTGCAACAACATGGCGATTTACAGTACTTTCACAAAGCTCATGATTTTGTGCTTAATTTAAAATGTGTACATTTTTTCAGTAGCATCAATTAATTTATTTTATTACCAAGGTTTAAAAAACAATCTGAGAACTTGGGACTGCAGTTCCCCTTTAACTTTTCCAGTTAATTGAAATCTTTGACCGGAAAAGTAGTTGTGCATGTATGGGTTTGTGATTTGAGAAGGTTTTGCTGTTCTCTGGGCCTACTTTTCTAATACTGTAATGAGAAAACACAGAGATGAAGATCTTATTTGTAAATTATATTCCTATATCTTTAGGTTTTCTACAAGCGGGCAGACATGGCAATTGGTTCCCTTACCATTAATGAGGAAAGATCAGAGATCATTGACTTCTCTGTGCCCTTTGTTGAGACTGGAATCAGTGTGATGGTGGCCAGGAGCAATGGCACAGTGTCACCCTCTGCCTTTTTAGGTAAGATTCACTCTTTTAACCATCCATTATCAGAACCTTTCTTATCCTGGTGAGCGTCATGGCAAGCAACAACCTATTGTGGAAGCAAAGGGAGCAATGCATGACTGAGAAAACACGGCTGCTCTCTGCCTGGAGGTGGACCAGGCCACGCCATATACAGTAGCTAGCTAGCTGTCTTTGAGGGCTGGGAGAAAACTCTTGAGAAACACTGAGAGGACATGCAAGCACCACACAGACAGGTGTTGTACAGCACAAAAATCATTTTGTTCTGCCTTTTCAGGACTTGCCATCTCAAACAGATTTTAAAACAGGGCACAATTAGTGTACAATACAATTATATCTGTTAATTCCCTGAACTCAGAACTGGTGGTTTGTGGATTCAGGTCCTTAGTGCAGATACTGCTGTTGTACCTTGAGTAAGTTACTTTACCCCAGTTGCAGCAGTCCACCCAGCCATTTAAATGGCATGTTAATGAAATTCACATAACATACTGCATGATATACCGTAGCAGTGCCTGCAGCTGGTTAATGATGTCTTTTACCATGCAATTGCAAATGCATATTTTAAATTTTCTGTTTTAAGATGCAAAGTGACACCAGAATAATTTGAACTTTTTTGAGTGCAGGAAATGGAGGAGTCTTAAACACTGCTTGCTGCAAACAGGGTAGCAAGATTACCCTGGTAGCATCCAATTGGTCTTATCACTCTCCTTACCTTCAACTGCCATCATTACAGTGGTTAATTATTGCAATGAAACACATGCAACAATTGTTTGTTGGCAACATACCTTGCTTGTGGAACTCTGAACCCTTATTTTTGCTGTAATTGCAAAGTAAAATTGTACATCACCTTTGGGAAAAATGTATGAGAAAAGTAGCCAATAAATGAATAATTGTTGTCATCAGCATCTTCAAAATCAGTGCTATATTAAAACTAAAGCTCAGAAAATGCTACAGTAAGGTATCATAAAGTACAACATTCCAAACATAGAATATATCTCCCTTTTCAGCATTTTCATTAGATATTAACTAACATTAATTTAGTAATGACTTTGTTTCAAGAAAACCCTTGTGAACATGCAAACTCCGTACATACTGTAAGTGCCTCAGCCCGGAATCAAACCAAGGGAACAAGAGTTTTGAGGCAGTAAAGCTAACGGGCAAATATCTTGCACATTAACAGGTTGCATAAAAATACTACAAAAAGCAACTTAAATTTTTATTTTTGCGAATTCTACTTAGATATCTCCAGCTGAGAGCCAAGGTCATCCAATGATATATTTGCTTTTTCCCTCCCCACTAGAGCCATATAGTCCAGCAGTCTGGGTAATGATGTTTGTCATGTGCCTCACTGTGGTCGCCATAACAGTCTTCGTCTTTGAGTACTTCAGTCCAGTTGGTTACAACCGCAGTCTCGTCAGTGCGAAAGGTAAGGATCGTGTGCTTGTCTGCAATACACTGGGCTTGCACACGGAACACCTAGAAAAGAATGCAAGCCTTGAGGTTCAGAAAGACAGCACCTTTATTTGATAACTTGTAGATGTAAAACAATGAAACCCAAAGTGAAAAGCAAGTCAGCAGCACTTACTTATTTAATCCAGGAATTCCAAAACCCTGCTGTGCCTGCTGTGCCTCTGTGTTTAATTAATGCTTGTGACTTCACAAAGCTGACATTGACTCTGTGCTAAACTTTTTTACAGACAGAGATTCAAAGAAAACCCTGCAAATCTGTAACAAGTGATAGATAAGTCATTACAGCAACAACAGCTCTGCTCACTTGAGTTGTTTGTGCTGTTTTCTCCCAACAACGGTATCAGTGTTTGTGCCATTTATTTATTTACTAACGTGGGAGCAGAGGCTATTAATTTTATGTTCCTCCCAATTCAGCAGTCTTCAATCTCTAAATGGGCTTGATTGCTAGAAAATGCACTAGCCTTAACAAAAACGTCTAATTTAAATGTGAAGGTCATACACAGGTGATCAGCACATAGATAAGTCATTCCATGTCCAAATCCCTACCATACATAAAGAAGATTGCACATTTTAATATAAAGATCTTCTAGTTGTTGTTAAATGTGGGATAATCTTCTACAGTAAATCATAATAATTCCCAATCTTATTTCTCAAAAGCTGTACACACTATATCATACATATCATAATCATTCTTTTATTAAATTTTATCTCATGCATCCCTCCTCCAGCCACCCTTTCAGCTTCCCTCTGGTTAACTCACTCTCAATGGGAGCCCCAGACTCCTCATCCTACAGTCAGGGGGGTTAAGTCAAATCTCATTGTACTGTACCTAATTGCTCAATATACACTACCTAAACAGATTCATCTGATTCTTTTCATTAGATGTGTGTCATTATTCCCATAAACCCAGTTGCTTTTAATGATAATGATAATAATGATAATGTTAATAATGTTATCAACAATGTTGATAATGTTTTAGGATGTGATAGTGTATTTATTTGTTAAGATGTGTAGCTGGATTACAGGTGTCTGGGATTAGGGGCAAGTCATCTTTAATTGAACCACCATTCTTCATCAAAGGTCCCACCCTCACTCTTCTAAACCTTCACAAAGTTTCCCTTTTGTTCTGCAGAGCCCGGTGGTCCCACTTTCACTATCGGGAAGTCGGTGTGGTTGCTGTGGGGCATTGTCTTCAACAACTCTGTCCCCATTGAGAACCCCAAGGGCACAACCAGCAAGATCATGGTACTAGTGTGGGCGTTCTTCGCTGTCATCTTCCTGGCCAGCTACACTGCCAACCTGGCTGCCTTCATGATCCAGGAGCAGTACATCGACACTGTCTCTGGGCTAAGTGACAAGAAGGTAGGAGATCACTTCTGACACACAAAGGAACACTGACCATAAACATGCATTTCTATTATACCACTCTTTATTTTATACAGTGTATTTCAGGTGCAGTATCTCAAAGGACTTAAAAATCATCCATCAACCCGTCCATTTCCTAATTACTTTTTTTTAATTCAGGGTCATGGAGGAGCCGGAGCCTTTGCAAGCAATGGACATAAGGCAGGGTATACCCTGGAAGGCACACCAGTCCATCGCAGGGCGACACAAAGATACAAACACACAACATCAGTGTCAGTTTTCCAAGTAAACAGTTGCCGATCTGTTTTTGGACTGTGGGATGAAACCTATGCAAAGAAGCAGAAAACATACAAACTCCATGCAGATAGCACCCCTGGTTCAGAATTAAAACCCTGGGCCCCAATGCTGGGATTAACTGGTTGCTGGGAAAATTTGCCCTAGTGCAAGTTTGTGTTTGTGTGTGACTGCCTTGTGGTGGACTGGGCATACCATGCCTTACACCTGTTGCTTGCTGAAATAGGCTCCGGCTCCACAGCAACTGTGAATAAGCAGTTCGAAAATGGGTGGGTAATCAAATAAATGGATGGTAACTCCTATAAATATCACATTCTTATATTAGATAATTCCAAAACTATAAATGAATGTAAAAACAATGGCATTTCTCCACAAAAACTCTTTATTTTCTATAAATTATATTTTCTTATTTTCTAAGTGACATTATCTTTTGTTTTCCTGGAGTTTTGCTTTTGAGGGAGTTTTTATTTGAATGAAAGCATTTAACAATAACTCAACCACTACCTTAATTTTGAACTTCATCAATGGAAGTTAAGTGGAAATACAATTTTGCAATGACCTTGGCTCTTTGTGTTTCCTGTAAATTTAAAAGAACTAGTGAAATTAAATTTAAATAATACTTTATATAATGAATTCTGTGAATTTAGGAATAATTGTATTTAAAATTAAGAGCAGATGAAAGCAGGGCTCTAAATCCCATCTTCATTACACAGCTAAAGGTGATCTAATTAGAGAATAAGACAGATAAGAAGTGCTGTCTTTTAAGACTAGAACTGAGAAAAAGTCCTCCACACTTTTGCATTGGGACTTTCAGATATTAGAGTTTTTTTAATAAAAATTCAGTGTCCACCGTGATTTGTAATCTCCAGAGCTAGACTCTAATTCCACTCTCCTTATCTATTTGCTCATTATGCTCTGCATAACTCTTTCCTATGCACTACAAAGGCTTTCCCGAATGTCAAGGTTTATTACGAGGGATTCTAAAACAAGAATCTACCTTAACCAGCATTAGATAAGTCTTAATGCATTGTGTCTTTCTCACTTTTAAAAAAGAAAAGATAAGCTATTCATGGTCATATAAATTTAATACGAAACAAGTTTCTGAAATTCATGGCAGGAGTACAGAGGATCTTTCATACACTTGTTAGTGTTTTTATCCCAAGAGTTAGAGCCGCTGTGCACTCTATGTAGAGTGTAGTGTTTCTTAAATTATAGCTATGACAATTTGTACCAGCTGGAGTATATCCAAAAACATGTACATATTTAAACCTGATAAAACCAGCAATTGATAGTATGAAGATCTGTAGCTGGTCTAAAACAAATGGATTTCATCCATTATTAGAGAGCTCCATATTCTTGGTTAGGGTTGCAGCAACCTGGAGTTTATCCCAGAGCCGTTGGGTGCAAGGGGGAGCTACTGTATGTGGGCAATCTTTAATTCTGATCCTGAGGGGTTAAGGTTATCATTCCATCTCGGCTCTTGATTGACTTAATCAGGTTGTTATTAGATTATAGATGAAGAAAGGGGATGAATTGACAACTTTTCCCAGTACTTCAGGTTCTGCTGCTGTAAAGAGTCTGCTGACACAGTAGCCCTCCTGTACAGGAACTATAGTTGACTGGACACCCTGGAGGGGACAGAAGTCCATCAAAGGGAATACGCACACACAATTTGGAGATACCAGTTAATGTAGTCAGCATGTTTTCATGAGATGGGGGAAACTGGAGCACCCAAAAAGCACGCATACTCCCTACAGAAGACACCCTAACCAGAATTGAACCCAGAACCTAAGAGCTCATAGGCAGTAACACTAGCCACTATACCACCATATGAAACAAATTAATTTTTTAATTAGGTTTTTGCAAGATACTGTTGATGAAAGATTTGCTTGGCATAGAAGAAAGTGTAGGCCTAATCTTCGACTTTGGGGATTGGAATATATAATGACAAATCCTGATCAAAGATAACCAGCGCAAGCAACAAATGTGTTTACATTAATTTATTTCAATACTTTGCCTCATTGTGGTTTAGCATGTCTATCCATGCTTTACTGTTATTTCAGTATTCACTGAGTTTTACTACACTTGACCCACACAAGACCAGAGTTCACATATATGAGGTCAAGACTGCACTGAGTACTTTATAACATTAATTTATACAGGAAATAGGGAAAGGTGGTAGGAAGACTTAAGAAACAAAAGGCTAATTAAATAATTTATATTCCTGTCCAGTTTTTGCATCATTACTGCCCTTACACTTTCTAATTTGCACCCATGATGAGATGACTGCAGATTTTGCTATTCTTTTACAACTGCTGAATTCCCAATACAGAAATCCATTGCCCAGGTTGAACAGTAGCCTCTGGGATGCACCTGTGAATCCTTTAACAAGTTAATGTAAATGCCCAAACTGTGAACTCCAAAGGCTGCAGAAGGTGAGACTACCTGGGGCTTTGAGTGTGGCACTGAACGTGCCTTGTTGGCTTTGTTGCGAACACTGATCTTCACAGCCCAGCTGGTGCAGTGGTTGATTTGCCTTCTCTTGCCTCTCTTTCACAGTTCCAGAAGCCTCAGGAGCAGTATCCCCCCTTCCGCTTTGGCACGGTCCCGAACGGCAGCACGGAGAGAAACATACGGAGCAACTATCCTGACATGCACACCCACATGATCAAATACAACCAGCGCGGAGTGGAGGACGCACTCAACAGCCTCAAAACAGGGTATCTTCTGTTTACCTGTAGTCTCCACTCCTGGCGTCATGGCCCAGCAGACTCTTGATTAATAATTGATTTGCCTGATGTCTTTGTCCAAGGTGACTTAGTTAATCATTCAATTCCATTAAGTGTAATGCAACATCAGATACTCACGGGTTTCGCAGGTAAATACTGTATGTCCAACAGTCAAATGTTAAGTAGAGAGGATTACCAAACTTTCAGTGTCCTAGTGCAGTTGTTTAAACAGCTAAATTTAATATTTATTCTTATGGTATTTTTTTAACATTTTACATATCATTATAACAGCACCAAGCCCTTAGTATTTTTTTAATGCCTTCTGGTGTACAGATAGATATGATTCAGTAATTTGGTTACTACATTATGCTAACCTGGAGGCAAACACAAGAACATACAGTATACTGTATGTTGGTCTTTCAGTAACATTGAAAGAAATTGGTTTATTTGCTAATGGGATCTTTACCGTGCCAGTTATACTGTACACAACTATTCAAACAGAATCAGAATTGTCAGTGCCTTCCAAAGCACCATTTCAAGGTGACAATTTTATTTTTAAGATTTCTGTTGAGCAGCAAGTTAATTAATTGCATTTATGTAGAGCTATTTATCTGTTTATACAACGTGCTTTATATACTTCATCTATATGGTGTATCTATATATATCTATATATATCTATATATGTACAGCAGCCATTTCAGTAGTTTGGTCAAATTCTAATTACAACGAAACAAGCAGATGAATATATGTTCGCCTTACTTGCTGTAGCCAGGCTGCAGTTAAATTTCACGGAGGCCTCTCATATACAGTAATAGGCTCCGTGACAAATCCCCCTGGAGGGACCAGGGATTAACACAGCACCTATCTGCTGTTGTCACAGTTGTGATAAATATGTTCTCAATTTAATTCAAGGACCCCGGTTGTTCCAGCTATACCGATATTGTATGCAGCATTTAAAGAAATGGATCACACAAGATTCCCCAGTTACTACTTCAAAAATTAATTATGTAATTACTAGTAATTATGACAAAATAATTATGATGAATTTAAGGTGATAAGCTACTTAATACTCTATAGTCTGGTGCTAACTCGCCTGGCTGAGGAAATGACAGCCCTGGTTGACAGCCAGTGCTATCTAAACCCCTTAACATATGAGGAATAAAGCAGGGAGGCAGCTGCAAGGGTGAAGCTGGGGTGGTGGGAGGGGAGCTGGAAAAAATAAAGCTGGGTTACGGACATGTGGTAGAAGAGGAAGGAGAGAGGAAGTGCAAGAAATTTACTCAAGACACCGAAGATAACATTCTCACTCACTCATCACAACACTGCAATGGATTATTTCATTAACAAATAATGAGAATCTTGGTTTAATAGCTCACCTAAAAGATAGTATCACATATAACGTAGTGTTTCCAATTACCATTCTGGGGAATTTGTTGGAAAATTCTGGTCCAGACAGAGGAGCACCACCTACTGTTCCACTTACGAGATCAACCTAGTTTTCCTTGGAAAGTTTAGCATGTACCTACAGTACATACTGTAGTTAACATGGTCAATATAAATTGAAGCCAAACAGCCAAATAGAAATGTATATCAGTAAGGTTATGAGGTACAGTATGTGCAACAAGAAGTGAAATAAATCCACAATGTACAGTAGATTGTGTGAAACACCTCATGGAAGCAAAGTCACCCTTTAATACAACGTTTTCTCCTGCAGCTTGTACTGTAGGTCCAGAAGACTTCACAGACTCACAAAATCTTAGTCAGCCAGAGTCTTGATCTTTTCATATAAAACTGTACCGTTCCATTACACTGATCTACACTACAAATGCTAATCACTACTCACTACAGTGTTGAAAAGTGCATTCAAAATTGAAAACAGACACACTGCTCTACACAACGGTTTGTTGGAGCATAGAGCAAGCTACAGCCATATTGCTGAAGCTGAATTACCCTGGCTTTTTTAAAGAGTCATGTTAATGAGATCCTTAGATCAATTAGCTCCTAGCAACCAAATGAGCCAAATTTAATTAATGGGCCACAAGTGGTAATAGATGGGCCGAATGGCCTTATCATTTTTGTAACCTTTCTTATGTTCTTATCACAAGTTCTTCAAAGATCATGCTACAAGAAAAGAGTAAAAGAGGCCTTGTGTAGGTTCTGTTTAAAACTGTAAAGAGACATCGAGCTAACAGGAACTGATGTCTTTGCTTTCAGTCATGGTGATCGTTGTATTACAGGAAGCTGGATGCCTTTATTTATGATGCCGCTGTCCTGAACTACATGGCGGGGAAGGACGAGGGCTGCAAGCTGGTGACGATTGGGAGTGGGAAAGTTTTTGCTACCACCGGCTATGGCATCGCTCTGCAGAAGGACTCCAGGTGGAAGCGACCAATCGACCTGGCTCTTCTCCAGTTCCTGGGGGATGGTAAATCAATACTAGAAAACCATCAGCCTGCTCTCCTGGCAGTAACTGAGTCCTTTACAGAGACAACATTAAACAGCCTGTCTCTTCTTCTTTGCATCTCATTTACACAACTCTTACACAAGACAAGAATTCTTTATGTTTTCTCTGACAAGATCCCCAACCTTTTGCTTGACCTGCAGTATTTGTGCTTATTTGTCATACAGTATGTATGATGCAGTTACTGCTGGGCTGGCAAACTAGGATATAAATCAAGAGGACTCTGTTCTTGTAATTCAGTTAACATGGATGGATTCATAGTTGTGTGAAACCAAGAGAAGAAAAACAAATTTCTGTCCTGAAGCATATGTGGCCTTCACAACAGTGTTTAAATCATATTTAAAGCTCATTGTTTGTCCTAATGACATGCTTTACCCTGCATAATTCAACAGGTAGCATTCTTATGACAGCAGTGAGAGTCCTGAGGTTACTGATAGGAAAACAATCCGAGACACAGAAATCCTGGTAAATAAGAAAATAAGGAAAAAAACTGTCTCTATATCCGTCTTGTGAATACCAAGAGATAAGAGCAAACAAATCCATTTATATACGACATTGCAAAATATGAGAAAGCGGCAGCTTCCAAATTAGGTGAGATACCTATCTTCTGGTTCTAATGCAGAAAGTTCCAATATACATTTCCCAGCACTTGGTCTCCAAATTTTTGAGTAGCAAAAGACGAATTAACTGTACTTGCGTCCTTTTTGACTTAAGTGTTTACCTCACAGTGTACATTGCTGTTGCACAATATGAGCTATACCGATTTTTATTGGAAGTGGTAGTGAAAGTAGTGAATGTGAGTCAAAGGACAGTAGTGTTACCCAGGGCATTAAAACAGAAGTGAAATAATGTAGTAAAATAGGCAAACAAGCAGTTACAATTGAGTACATTACTAGGTCATTTCTATATCCAAACCACATCAGGACAGGGCTTATCTTGGTTTCCACGATGTTTCATGGATGAGATAGTATGTAGAAAAGGCCCTGAGCTTATATAAGGATATAAGGAAAATATTCACATAAATATAGATGAGTCAACCATTTAATATAATACTCTAAGTTGGCTGTTTAGAAATACAAAGAAAACTGTTTTTCAGTTAACTGATACAGTAGGTAGGAATCAAATGCTATGACAGGGTCCTCAAATAGAGAGGTTTTTCTAAACAGGCAATGATGTTGTACCTGTACTGTACCTGACTTTATTAAAAATTCTGCAACATTACAAATGTACAAATGCTGATAATGTATCCTTTGAATAATTTTCATAGTGTGTCTGAAAGTATAAAATTCCACACAGCAAAAATAACTTGATGAAGCTGGTTTAGGAGAGAAGGTCACATATACTGTATAGTATCAGTACACTAGTTTTTTCCATCTCTGTCTTTTTCCCATGGGTGCATTTATTTTATTGCTCATTTTATTTGGCTGATGCTCTTATCCAAAGTGACGTACATGTGAAGCCATTTGTACCACTAGGTCGTTTTGCTAAAGCAATCTGAGTAATTGATGATGATAAATGTCTTTGAATGCAGTGATGCAGTCCTCCATTGAGTAATGCCTCCGTGCACGCTCCCCTTAGGTGACACCCAAAGGCTGGAGACGGTGTGGCTGTCTGGAATCTGCCAAAATGAGAAGAATGAGGTGATGAGCAGTAAGCTGGACATCGACAACATGGCAGGAGTCTTCTACATGCTACTGGTAGCCATGGGTCTCAGCTTGCTGGTGTTTGCCTGGGAGCATTTGCTGTACTGGAAACTGAGACACACCGTGCGCAAGTCAGACCGCCTTGACTTCCTGTTAGCCATCAGCAGGGCAAGTACCGCATATCCTCTACATTGTTATTACTAGTAGTAGTAGAAAGAGCAGTAATAGTATCTGTCAACAGTTGTAAAACCAGGCTTTTCAAAATTAACTACAGAATATTTACTTAATAGTGCGCAGATGTTTTTAGATAGTAGGGTACAATGAGGAAGTACAATAAGTGAAAGGCAAAAATAACACAAAAAGCAGAGCGAGCACAGCAGAGCAAAAAAGCAATCAATAGTTGTGGGGCTGAAATAGTCCATAAAGTCAAGTGGAGTCTTGAGGAGGCATCTCACTCTTCCATCTAGGACTTAAAAAATATTCAGAGATAAGCCACAGCATTAATTAAGGCTTATCTCACAATTCCACAACAGTCAAATTCACTCCTGGGGCAGGAGGCGCCTACTGGTTTTCATTCATTCTGAAGCCATGATAGCTTAATTGAGTCACTCTTTGGTTTAATTGATCTAGATGAGTGCTTTGGTGAAATAGTTAAATGTTTGTAGAGCATTTTCTATTAAGAGTCAATTACTCTCCGTCTTCTGCGCAGGAAAAAAAAGAAGAAATCTATTAATGTTTCAAACTGGAGCTATACCAAACAGTTTACCCAACTATTTTTTTTTAAAGTAATGTAATTGATTAAATAAAAAATTAGAAAAGGTATAAACAAACTGAAAATGATCCACAGTTGAAATGTTTTGCCTCTTATTGCTGTTTCATTGCAGGGCATATACAGCTGCTTCAGTGGTGTGGAGGAGTCTGACAGGTCCATTAATATTCAGAGCCCAGATGTAACCACCAACTATGCCCAAGCCAATATGCTGAAAATGCTTCAAACAGCCAAAGACATTGTCTCCTCTGCCAAGGTGGAAAACTCTCTAGAGAATGCCACCAAGACCATTGAGAATTGGACCAGACGCAGTGAACACATCAAGGGGGGCATCCCCACCCGGGTTCCCCAAGTAGCCACGTCTGATACATCTGTGGGCATTGGCCGCCACCCTTACATCTCAAGCATTACAGACAACCACTCCCCTTTCTCCCAGCGGGCTCTCACCCCCACGCTCACGGTACACTATGCAGAGAATGCCAGCCAGCCACTGCTAGAGAAGCAGAGAGGCATGGCACGACCCACTCCCGTCAGGTACACCCTGCCGGCTCGAGGCAGCCACCTCTATGACAAGATGCTGCCCATCTCCAGCCTCAGCAGCCCCCATATAGCCATGAGAGATCCTCCCTCTGCTACCAACCCTCACCACAGCAACAGGCTGTATGTGGAGAACCAGCTCCGGCATCCCAGCTCTCCTTTTGTCCCTTATAGGGAGCTACAGGTGCCAGATATTTACGTGGAACACAAGGACCCTGTTTGTCGAAAGCTGTGTCCAGATGGATTGGCGCGGAAGAAGTCCCACAGTTACCTGGTGGAGTCTCCGGAGCCCAGGCACAGGCATGAATTTGAAGCTCCACCGACATGTTTTGCTGAACTCAGGGCTAACCACCTCATGGAGAACCATGTCCCAGCTGTTTCCTGCATGAACAACCACTACCCCAGAGTCAAACCCACCTGTAACTCCTGCATCAAACCATACGTGGAGCCAGAGCCGGAGGACCTCCCCCTCTTGGGAAAGGAGAAGCTCAACCGCCGGGCTTCTTTCATCAAGGCCACCTGGGGTAGCGAAAAGATCAGGCCTTTGGATGAGAAGCCCTCCACCTCCTCTTCTACCAGAATAGACATGCCAGACTTGTTTCCCCGTGTAGTGGCACACCCCAAATCTAAGCTGTATAGCACTACAGGGAACAGTTTATGTTACCCTGTGGCAGTAGAGCGTGCTTACCAGTACCCTGGACCCATCAACCCATACAAAGCACAGAAGCTGAAGTACTCACAGTCCACCCGGCTGCCCTCTTACAGGGAGGCTGTCCTGCAGAACGCTGCTGCCCTGCGGAGATCCTCCACAGTGGTCCACAGACACTACTCCACCTACCTGAATTCATACACTGATTTACCAGTGTACATGGGGCCTCTAGCACAGGGCCCTGCTCAATTTTATGAGCACTCCAAGGAGATGTGCGACATATTCCCTTGTGTTGGCCATTGCCCAGAAGAGAATGCCCTGGTTCCTAGGTGCAGTGACCGGCAGATAGTCTACCAGGACAATATTTACGGAGGATATGGAGGCAGCAGCCGGGTGCGAGAGGAAGTCCACGTGCCTGGAGTGAGCAGGAGAGACAGAAGGCAGGTACTCGTGGCTCGAAGAGTGAACAGTCCATATGTGCCAAAGCCCTGGACAAGGATATCCAGCCTGGAATCAGAGGTCTGAACCCACATTCCACTGCCAGACTACATACTTTCCTAAATGGGTTGCTAAGGGATAACTGCCCTCCTTAAAATTGACAGCAACCACACATCCCTGATGTGGCAATGGCAGTGTGGCTGGCAATATGGGTTACAATGATGCAACAAGACATTCACAAAAGTAAACGTTTTGTTGGACACTTGCTGTAGTGTTTGGCAGAGTGCTGCAACTGGGACAATGACACTTAATTCAATTTAACAGTGTTGAATAGTTCTAAATATCTTTCAATTCAATGCATTGTTATTATTTATAACACGCATCTTGCTGTTTGGCACCCAGTTACATCAGCTGGATTTACAAGCACTGATGAGCAGTGTGTCTTCACATAGGGCTTCTGAACAAAGCGTGTCCTGAGGAGTTACATTCTCTTTGCTTCTTTTATGCTTCAGTTTTCTTTTTGTAAAAAAAAAGTCATTTTAGAATTTACCAACCAAAATGGATATGAAAACTGAATTTTGTAATCATAATAAAGAAATGTCTTCCAAGAATTTTGTAATTGCAGGGCTTGGGCAGAGGGGAATGTGAGCTGGAAGTTGATTTGAAGGAAGATCATGGCAAATTACTTTTATTTAAGGGGCAAATGGAAAATGATTCTTATTCAGTGTCTGAACTCCTGAGGTTCTTCCACAGTTTAATAAATTGTTAAGCCTTCTTCAAGGGCCTTTTCGAATTCTTGCTGCTCATATTTTTATATGGGTTAGAAGGTGAAAAAAGCCACACATCATAAAGTCACAGTCCTTCAAGGGGGACACTAATTCAAATATAATTTCAGGAACACGAGGATCAGAATCTTATTCTTGATTCACCATCTCTGGTGAAGTTAAAACAAAATCATTAAAACAAAAACCTTAATGATTTTTTTAGGTCATTGAAGATAATTTCCTTTTGCATACAGACACAAATAATGAAAAATGAAATGTAGAATTAAGCTGTTTATACACAGTATTGGCAAAATTGAAACATCGTCTCACAATAATCATGTGATTATGAGACATATGTCACATTTTGAAGATATGAACTGAGATTAAGCAGGATTCCTAAGAAATTCCCAAGTGAAAGGAAGTGTCCTTACAAGTCTTTTCTGTTTTGGATACTATTTAGTCCTGTTTAAAATGAGCTCCGTTTGTAGCAAGACACTAGTGGTCTTACTTCACTCCTGGTTGTGTTTGTACATATAATCTATTTAAAGGCATAAAATGACCTAAAAAGTCAATTCCCAGTGTGCCATGATAGCACTGTCTTTTCTACTGTATATAAACACAAATCTGCTAAAACCACATAGAAATGAGACGAGCTCATCACACCAGCACAGCAAAGCTCTTTGTACACTAAAGACTTAGAGCTCAATGTCTTTTCACCAAATATATTTTATTTTTTTAAGTCTGGTAATTGTATGTGCTTTGTTTAAGATCTTCAGGGAAAAGGGCTTGGAGAAAGAACAGTAAAGTTAAACTCAAATGAAATGAAGTGTGCCGGCTTTTCATACTGAGCAGGGTTGTCAGAAACACAGGATTTGACAAACACAACATTGATGGTCTGTTCCCCACTGTTAATTGGCAAAAGAAAAGAAAGTTCTTGATCTAGGACTGTTGGGAAGAGGCACCACATTAAAGCCTGTGTGAGAAAAGCAGCATACAGACCCTAGTGGATTCTAGGTGAATTAGCTTAACTAGTGCATGTCCCAAGATAAGCTTCTTAACAAGTACCATCACAGAGAGACACAAAAACCCAACATGAACAGTTTTTAACTCTCCTGCCATGAATTCTGTGCTATTTGTGTTAAAATAGAGAAGATTAGAGAATGACTTCAGAACTTTGCTGTTTGAGCCTCATTTGCCCGCAAAGCCTGTTTTTACTTAAGAGTATTCATTTTATTGTACATTAAGCCACTTACAAACAACAAAACTGGTAAATTACTGGTAAATAGACAACAAAAATGGTAAATTCTTGAATTCTCAAGTCACAAATTCTGAATATTGTATGTACAAAAGGAGGTATGTGTACTGTATATAGAGAGATGCTAGGTCTGTTGGTTGTTATTCTACCCAATAATAATGACATAATTATTTGGTTAATCAAATTATTTGGTTAAGTTTCCATTCCAGTTTTCAGTCCTAATCAATAATATTGTAAATGCATTGCCTTGAATTAAATGCTTCTTTTACATAATGAACTGTCAAAAGTCTTCTTAGAAGTCAGCATGGCCGTGGCTTGTTTAGGATTACGGCCTTGGAGCACTTGTTCAATTCTGAGATAAATTCTGGACCTGAGATGTTGTCTGTGTGGGGTTTGTATGTTTTTTCTCCCGTTTCCTTCCACAGTTCTCAAACATGGTAGTACATACTTGGCTTCTAGGGAAACTGGCCTTAGGTGTGAGTGTGTGTTTTTGTGCATCTGCCCAGCGATGGACTGGAATCCTGTCTAGGTTGTACCCTTCCGTGTGTCCATTGTTTGCCAGGATAGGCTCTGGCTCCCCTGGGACCCTAAATTGGAAGAAGAGATTAGAAAATGAGTGGATGGAAATCGTTATAGACACACATCTGATAATATCGAGTTTGAATGATCCACAGTAGATAATAGATACATCCAAAAATGTTCTGAGTAATTAACCAACTATCTTAACTATATCCCTGTCCTGAGAAGGTCAGAAAGTTCTCAACTCTTCCCAATTGGGCATGGAAAAACATTCTAAAATGTATATACTGTTCTAACTGGATGATGCAGCTAACAGGAATTTAGTTAAGGTGTCTCTAAATGTGATAGTCATTGTGTGGCCTACTTCAAAGTTTTAAGCATATCTTTGTCTTTTAATGTCCATGTCCAGGTTTTATCATTCAGATGGCTGAGAGTTACCTTGGACTAAAAGAATTATGTTCAGGGACTTTATCTTATGATGGGAGATCACTTTTATCCAAAGGAATACAACACATCTGAAATCCAAACATCAAGGGCCTTTGATACTCTCTTACCAGCCTTGTATTGTTAACACTGCACTGTATCAGTGATTAAATCACCCCCAAGGCTGTTCTCCATAGTTTTATAGGGTGAAAATAATTGTTCTTTTTTCATAAATTCTGCCTGTATTCTTGGTTCAAAGCAGATCCTTAAAAATACACAACATTTATTTAATCTTTTTTTTTTAACAAGGGTGAACATCATTGCCTTGGCTTTCAATTTCCAGGGTGAAAAATGACTTAAGGGAAAGTTCCCAAATCAGCAGGTATGTGCTGTCTGTGCACAGTCAGATACAGAGCGAAATGTGGGGCAATGAAAAAGCTTGGATAAAAAATTCTGCATGTTTTTGTGAAGACAATTATGATGGATGGGAAAATAAAATGATTTTGGTACTTGATAAATGATTCAATACATGCAGATAATAAAATCAAAGGGAGCCACAACTGGGTCTCAGAAGGAAAATCTATGGCAATATATCACACAGCTCAGGTAGCAACAGAAAGAAATTATACGCATTTAAAAGTCATCTGATGTTCTCCGAAGCTTTAATATTCAACATGAAAACGGGGAGACAAGTGTCACGTCTCAATAGCTTCTAGGTATGTTGCTTTTTTAATTGGAAATCTGTCAGTTCCACAATAAAATGTTACTTTAATTACACCTTTCCAATGTTATTAAATTGTTTCCATTTTCTAGAACACTTGAGTGGAAAAAAATAAATATCAAACAGAAAGACTGTAACCGTTACCACCTACAATTATTTGCTCTCCCGAGGAAAAAGAAGAATTGAGTATTCCATCCATCCATTTTCTAACCACTTTAATCAATTCAGGGTTGCTGGAAGGATGGAGCCTATCCTTCCAAGTAACAAGTGCAAGTCCGGCACAAGCTGTGGCTTGCAATGATGATGCAAAATCTTCTGTCAGGTACTGTAGAGCTTGGAGTGTACTAAATGACAGACTTTAGTGCAAACTCAATAAACTAAAGAGCACGTCCCGACACCTAATCTTCTCCCAAGAGGTACAGGAGATGTTACTGGAGAGCTCAGTTCTAAAATAATTGGTCTTTTCACGTTGAGTGCATATCCATCCATTTCTAACCACTTTATCCAATACAGGGTCTCTCCCAGCAAGCAACAGGCACAAGGCAGGAGACATGTAGGACAGGACCTCAGTCCGTTGCAGGGCACATACAAACACACACACTCCATTAACCTACCAGTATGTTTCTGGACTGAAGGAGGAAACCAAAGCACCTGGAGCACACTCCACACAAATAGCAAACTAGGTTCTGAATTGAATCCATGCCCCCAGTGGTCAATGCTAACCACTTTGCTATCCATAATTGGGTTTTATTTTTATTTATAAAAATAAACATTCTGGAAAAAAACATCTATATTAACATGTAACAACAGCAGGGTTCTTTTTTTTTTCATTTTTTCATTATCATTCAAACCATCATTAGAGCACAGATATGAACAAACTAAATATGGACCACTGTGGCTCGATTGGTTGATTATGCTCTACAGTATATTCAGCATGGACTGCAAGCTACTACCGCTAATAAATAAACCAAAACCATATACACAGATAAAAAAAGAGCAAGTTTAAAGTGTCTTTTAACAGAAAAGATCCAAAGTTCATTACACTACACAGACTGTTGGAGTATCAAGTAGAGAGGTACAGTAACTTCACTGAAGCATATTTTTTTGATCCACACTTGCACATTAACTGCAGTAGTAACCAACCTTTTATGGTCATTCAGTATACTGTACAGAATGCAATGTTGTGTTGGGGAGGAAGGATACTGTATATTTGGATCCCAGATTGGCCAGCTGCACTGAATGCCATCAAACAGTTATCTTGGTTCTGTCGTGGCCAGCTTAAATAATGATTTTTGCTGCCATAGGGTTACAATAGATGGCTGCTTCTAAACATAAGGTAAACAACAGATTAAGTTTGATGAAATTCTACAGTCTTATTTGGGTTTATATTTGTGAAAAGAGCCTTGAGAGAAGAAGAGGTGATGGAATAGGATGTGCAGGTGAGGTGCTGGGCTTGCTGTACTCTCCAGAGTCAGTGTGGGACTGAGGACCCGATGCTGGGCATACAGCTGTCAGGTAATATTCCACACATTGGCTGCACTTACAGTATAAAAGAAAGATGACTGTACGTACTGCAGGTTGCACAAGAAACCACTATTCAAACTGTTGTGGAGTGAAAATCAAGGGAATGGTCTCTGTGCTTGCACAGATGGTACACTTAGCAAGGACTAAAGGTGATTGATTGAGCTCCAAAGTCACCAGAAATGGCATATGTCAAATCTCACAAGGACAGGTAGCCACCCAGGCACCTGCCATTCTTAGGATTATTGCTCACAGGCACATAACAAATAATTAAAATTTAGAAATCAGCAGCTTTATAGGCAGATGTCTGGACATCTGGGCTCTGGGTATCAGAACCCACTGATCTGTAGTGATGCACAGTATCAAGCTAGAAAAGGGCAAAGTTGTCACAATATCAGCAGATTGTCAGACACTCCCCTAGGAAATCTAATATACATTATCCATCATCCACTTGTGCAGCTTGGACTGCTCCTATGAGGGCAGCAGCGGAGGTGGGGACAGGCAGCAAAGAGGCAAAGGGTTGAACTTGAAAATGTATCTGTTTCACAGTTTTCAAGAACACTCTGCACCATGAGGGAGTTAGCTTGAAAGAAGCAGATACTGTAG